TAAATAAACAAACATCAATGATAAGTAAACATTGTGGCAGATAATCTTTGACATGAAAAGACTAAAGAAGTTGCTGATACAGTGTGTGTTGTGGCTACCTTCTAAGTAAGTTAAGTCTAGATTTTAATATAAACTATTTAGAGGGTGTATTAGCACTTATTCTACTTGATTAACATTGCAAAGTGCAGATGATTCCAAAATGTGTGCTCAATTGTACAAAGACACGCCTACACACTTTCCTTGGAAGGAGAATCTACAAATCAATTAATTACACAATTGATTCACAACAACCAAGTAAAGAGAAAGGTGCAATAATTGAAATAGAAGCTACTATGTGCATTTGATTAGAGATGCAAATCATCACAATAAGCTTTTTCTTCTTTGCAATAAGGTCATTTTGACCACATCTGCTCCACTTTCTACTAGCCTGGCTATGGGAAATAGGATATGCCAAGACAAATTCCCTGCGCACAATTCCACTGTTTCTCTGTTTTGGACCAATCTCATATATCTATTTTTTATTTTCAAGTAGGTGTAGCATATATGCTTCAATTTTTGCATAATGCAAAAGTCATGCAGGTGTGGACAAGTTTATTGTGCTCCAAAGTGTTTCGTCTGTTAATGACAAAGTGCTTCCTTCTCATAAAGGAGTGAATGATTGAATGTTGAACATAGCAATGGTGGTCTTCAGAGTACATTTTTATAGGCCAAATTCAATTTTCATAAAGTTGACGGATGAATCTAACAAGTATATATTTATATCAGAATGAAAATTAAAACAGAACACCAAAGTAAACATCAGAAGATGTTAGATTGTCAAACTGAAATCTAACTACACTTAGCAGTACCAAATAAAGAGACTTTGATCAGTGATTTATGATTTATTTTCTTATTTTTTTCACTAAGTATTTATAGAAAAGTTTTGATTTGATCATGTTTTCCATAAAAACGAGAGGGGTGAAATTATGGAATCACATGAGGAGTCATGGAATACAATTCCACATGTAATTCTACCTGCATTAACCAAAGCTTTCTTTTGAAGAAAAAAAAATGACCCTTTATCAAAAGTAGTACTTTCACTTTTTGTTTACTTTATTGTCAATTATTCATAGAAATTCCAAAATTATTGATGCATTTTAAAACGACCCTTGCAATGTATAAAATCTGGCAATTCAAATCTAATAAAAACAATGACACCATGCATGAGGGTATAAGTCTAAATGGTCCTGCTACATTGTTTTGCTACAGTATCTGACAAGACTAACCACCATCCTTTACAAAAGGAAAACCTCCTTTTTTTTTGCAAGTGGAATTAAAAAGCACCTTCCCCACTTTATTCTTATTTCCATCAACACTTGCACTATACTTATAACCAATTCATACAGTAATATAACTTCAATTCTTTGTTTTGGGATTTTGATTAAGGATGCTCATTAAGCAATTAATTTATCAGAGAAATAAAAACAGAGTCAAACAAGCTTCTTAGCATGTAATGAATGTTTCTCCTTTATTTGCATACACGGAAATTTCTTTGGTGGATATTATTTACTAAATAATCTTTACCTGCTAAGGAAAAAAAAAACCCATCTAGGTTGCTGCTATTGATGTATCTTTGTATAATGCATCATATTTAGTGTAGATTTTCAATATCTATACTACAATTTTTATTAAAATACATACATATTCACACACACGTATGTGTATGTATATATATTATATAGCACTTTTTTTGGAAATTATTTAGTAATATATGACTATTTTGGGTGTCTATCTTTCTGATCAATATCTATGTATCAAGTTTTTAAATTTATGAGAAAAAAGAAAACACTTAACTATATGTGAGATTAATATAACTAAATAATTTCTCTTTTTAATCTTTCTACTCTTGAGTTCTTATTGAAAAATTGTGTACACCATCCTAATTCTTATTAAATTAATATAATAAGAGAGTGACATGCACTACACTACAAGTTACATGGAAAACTTTTGGTATAAAGTGAAAAACTAGATTGACTAAATATGCATTTTATAAGTTTCACTTATAATGGTATGGTTGTTAACAAACATTAATCATAAAAATATGCTGAAAGATGTATGTTGGTAGCACTCTCGTACTATTTTATTAAATTAATAATTTCATTGAAGAGTTGGTTAATTAACAAGTGTAAAAGATATTATTTAAAATAACATAAATGATATTTAAACACATAAATTTTTACATTCATTTAATATTATTTTTATTTTCTGAAAATATAAAAATTCATTTTTGATTTGTAAGATAGATGGTGGGGTGAGAGATGTTTACAGATGTTAAATATTGAATGGAGCATGGATGGCAGAATGGAAAGTTGTGTCTAAGAGGGTATGATGAGAAAGTGGGTGTGATTCCCTCCATGTTTATTGATTAGCTCAGAATCTGAGAATGAAGGCAGTTCAATAAGATTTGAGTTTCACACGTTGGAAAACAACAGAGAAGGACGGAAAGCTGCTGCATCAAATCTCATTATCATTAGGCAATGCAATTGTATCTGAAAGATTTCATATCCTTCAATGGGAATAAACCAGAATATTGGCAAGAAAGTTAATGATTTCAGATTATATAGACAAATAGAAAGGGTAAAGGACATGTCTTCTCAACAAGATTTTCAGATCTACCGAGTTCACAATAGAAAATTCAATAGTAGGTATGAAATATCCAACTCATGACATCGGATGGGACCCAATGCTTGCACTTTATCATTATTTTTTTCATGGAATTTTCAGTCCTCAAATTCTTCAAGTATGCATACAATGATCTTCTTCTATACAGCAAAAAAAAAAGGTTCACTTTGCCATTTTGGATTTCACATTAGAATGTGTGTAACATGATCCCTGAAATTGGTACTTATTTGAAGTAATGATCCCAAATAACAGAGCATGGATGTAGTTTATGTCGGTCATAGACTAGGGACATCAAGATACGAGATCTACTAGGGTTTCGATTGTTAGCAATAACTTCTATTTGAGACCACCAATGACTAACTGCAACAACAAAATCATTAATGGTATAATGAAAATACCTGAGTTTGCTATCACTATCTTAGACTAGTTCCTATATATGATGATTAAACATAGCATGTAACAAAGTATTATATAATTAAATTTGAGTTTTATTCTGGTATCCAAAAGCTGGCTTTTATGGTAAATTCTTCTTGTTATTTATTAAGATGGAAGTGTCCACGGAATTTACATATGCAAATAATGTATTTATGTTTTCCAAGTGGGGTTTTTTTTTAATTAGTAGTTTGTAGAAACTTAGATAGTATTGTATATGTAGATTAATGTAATATTTAAATTGAATATATAATTTTATGTATAAATATTTATTAAATATTGTTAGACAATTTAATGTATGAAATAAATTCAATGTTTATTTAATTGAATTTGTTGATTTTAAGATAAATTAATGTGATAAGATGATAAAACAAGGAATACCGTTTAAAAAAAAAAGACAATCTTTACATTGTCTGTTATAATATGTTAAATGTAAGCACATATAAATCTTTAAAAGAAAAAAAAAGTTTTTATAAGTATTAGACAATATATGTTATAATAGGTTAAATTTTGAATAGACAATTAAACAAATATCTATCATAATACATAAGAAATAGTAGGAGAGGTGAAAATAATTACGTCATAAAAGCTGAAATATTATGTCAGGTAAATTGAACTACGTCGTAATAAATTTGATATATTATGAAAGTATGTTATATATTGAATATATTATTTATAATTAATTCGTTACGTAATGCATAAACCTTTTATGATTTTTCAAACTATAATACCAAAACACTTGTCATAATATATCTAACTAATACTATAATCCTTTATAGTTAATCCGCTATGTAATATTTTTTTTTTTGTCTATTACCAAACCTAGTATTTGAAACATTTATTATAAAAACTATCAATTTATCATGGATATATATAGAGGGAAAAGGGAAAAGGGAAAATCACGATATATGTAAGAACAATATTTTTCACATATGCCTAAACCATAGACATCGATCTAGTGTAACTCACTACAATGATTTTGTGCATTATAAGCCGTGTAATTTAACCCTAATTTAGAAAAAGCCAACCTTGGGAGTCTACAGCTTCAAACAATAAACTCTCTTAAGCAGCAAAATATGGTTACCTTTTTCTTTTTGTTATAAAAATAGAATGAGACTAACCCTCGACCAATTACTATTTTTGTTTTCAATTTCATACACGGAGATGCTTGTAATACGAAAGAGATTTTAAAAATTGTAATAACATTCTAAAATAAAATATATCTTTATTACATAGCTTTAGGTAACATTCTTTGAATTCATCGTTTGTGTTACCATCCATCTTTTACAATCTTCTCTTTCTATATAAACTTACCTAAAAAAAAATCCGAAGATAATAAGTATTAAATAGTGATGCTATTTATAATTATTATTTTTATATATTTTTCTTGTTCACAACCTACTTGAGACATAGTCTTTTGCAATAAAAGGATAGGCAGTGATTGTCAAATAGGATTTTGTCCCCCACGATCTCCAAAACACATCCACAAAAAAATGAACTACCAATGCTCTCAATTAAGGAAATAAAAAAGTAAAAAATGGCGTTAACAACATAGACCATTTAGTAGAAAAATGAATGAATGAATGAAAAAGAGAAATCATTTTATTTATTATTAATAATTTTACTTATTACATATTTCTATTATTAGTTTAATAATTCTTTATTATAAAAAATAAAGATATAATCAATTATAAGAGTGTTATAATCTATTATTATGGAGACTCAAAACAACTATCACCACAATCTTTTACGTAATATTATCAATTATGTATATATAAGATAATTGAGGGTATTGAGTTAAGCACACATTTGTGAAAAGAATTTTTTTTAAGCATATTCTACAAAACTTTATTGTTATATTATCTATGTCAAATCATCCTATTTCCTCAAACAAAAACAAGCATGAGTAAATGCAAAGTGAAAAACACTTTTTTTATTTTATTATTATCATAGATTAATGTATTGTTTTTTGAACTTTAAATATTCAAACTCAGCCCTAGTGATAGGAGGGCAACAAATATTCTGAATCTGCCTTTACAAGTCTTTGGCTATCTATCTTAGGGTGCTTGAGAAAGCACTTGTTCTGTTAACTCTTCTAATATGTGAGACCAAAACCAAGAGGAAATAATGGTTCACATGAATTAACTCCATCACTTGGCTGATCAAGCTGTTCAACTCTTCTGAACCAATTCACTGGTAATTTACCTTTGAAATCATGACTGCCAAAGATAACATCTGTGATTCCTTCCCCTTCACTACCTGGCAACCAAGCAGCAACAAGAGCATCAATCTTTTCCAATAGCCATGCCTCTAATAATAAAGGTCTTCCAGATATCAGAATAACCACAGTTGGGATTCTGTCAGCAACTAGGCTTATGATATCAGTTCCATTTAAGGGCATTCTAAGCTCTGAATTGTCACCTAAGGTCTCAGCATATGGTGCTTCACCAACAGCTACAATTGCAAAAGCGAATTCGTTACGTTCTATCGTGCCCTTTGATGGATATTTCTCGTATATAACTTCTGTTTCAGCTCCCACAGTTGCCTTCACAGCATCTAAAATTGTTGTCCCTATAATGTTAGGTGTAAGATACATGTTAACAGCAATGTTTAACAAAGAATACTCTAGAAAGAAGAAAGATAGAGTATTAACATTAGTGACAAGGAATGAGAAAAACCATGGTTGAGACTTGAGAAGGAAGGATGCACCAAATGAATTTCTAGATTTATAAAATCAGAAACCAAAGTTTCTGTTTTCAAGAATCAACAGAAAACAAAAAGCAGCACAAAAGTATGTCTTACCAACTGTGATTCGCCCGCTCATTCCATACCAAGTTTTAGTCCAACCTCCACATTGATATCCAAGATCATCTGCGTGTGTTCCAGCAACAAGGATTCTCTTAGCAGTCTTGTTCAATGGAAGAAAAGGTTTGTTATGATATTTCCCGTTTTTCAACAAAACCAGGGACTTCTGAACTGCTTCACGCGCAAGATCTCTATGTGGCTGCAGAAATAGTATTATGTGAAAAACGGAGTTAAAACATGATACTAGCAAACAATAATCGAGGAACATAGAACATCAACATGCCACAAAAAATGGGAACTTGGGAGTACATAGTTGTAATAGAAATGTAAAATGGAATCCGTGTTACTAAATTTTGTTCTTTATCATATGTTAAAGCATTTGTTTCCTAAAGCTCTCACAAAAGTATAGTTTCCTTCCCTTTATTATTACCTCATTTTCAGGGGAAATTAAATTTAGGATACCCTGACAAACATATTTCTAGTTTAGAATGATGCACCAATAGATTGGTTAATCATAATAGTTACCGTAATTGCTTGATTAATCATTTTCCTAAAATATATCAAATGGTATACTATAAGTTGTTCTAGTTACAAATAAAAACCTAGCCTATACCATGGGTGAAAGAAATTCACTGTGCGCTGAGGTATTGATTACCTTGCTACCAACTGTATCTAACAGAGATCTGTCACTAACAGGAAATTCAAAAAGCCCAGCAGCGAACTTTACTCTCAAAATTCGCTCAACAGCATCATCAATTCTGCTTAGAGGTACTTCCCCTGTTTTAACTAGAGAGGTCAATTCTTCAATGAAAAGTTTGTATCTTAAAGCCACCATCACCTGCATATTTTATTGATAGATGAAAACAGATTAAGAAAAACACATTATGATAAAAGATTTCTTTTACCGAAGATCAATACCATGTCAATTCCAGCATTGACTGCAGAGGAGATGCAGGACCGATAATCTGACCCGTGAGGCTGGCAAAGTCTGTCAAGTCCCTCCCAGTCAGAAATCACAAATCCCTATAACAGCAATGGTCTAGGAATATTTTAAAACAAATGTTATAATCAAAACCAGAAACACACGAAAATGAAAAACAATTTCAGTCATTGTTATCATATCATACTAGAAGTTTCCAGATATTGTCAAGACCATTTGTTGTAAAAGCTTAAGTCACTAGGTGGAGGAAGCTTGGTAACAGCTCTTCTCACAAGATCTTTTTGAACTCAAGTGCACAGAAGGTGGGAGCCTGTTATACCATGTGCCAAAAATAACCTTTTACTCGAAGAATAGGGACAGTAAGGATTGAATTTTTTTACTACTGAGAGAATGTTAGGGTGAGCTATGAGCGCATTTGCAAACTGATTTTGAACTATCTTCATTTTACAAAATTGTTTTTGGTTTAAGTGAAATGGACTTATGTTTGAAAACCTTCATCTCAAAAGAAAGTTTCTAGTATGACTTAGTGTAAAAATCTGCACCCGACACAAAAGCTATAATCTTTTACTTAATCTTTTACTTCTCGGCTACTATGCTTTTAGGAGCAAAATCATGTTTGAAACAATTGACATTCATTTTATAGAAAATCAATTTAGTCTGTTAAACAGGGGTTTGAGGCTCCCTACCACAAATCCAAACATGCTATTAGGGAAAGCCCACTATGGTATTATGTCAAGGAGCAACTATACTAAAAGCTAAACCTAATAAGTGGAGCCTCTTGAATAGTTTTTATGTATAATAAAAAGAAAACCTGAAGATCCTCTATTTTTTTCAAAAATAAAATGGCAGAACATAAAATGGAAAAGTGATTTTGGTATTCATCCATGATATACTGAAAATATCTGTAACATAAAATTAGATAACATACTTTTCAAGCATATCGATTCAAATGCAACTTGAAAATTATCCAGTAATAAAGAGATAGATTTATTAGGTTATTTTACCTTAAAACCTAACTTGTCCTTCAAGATTTCAGTTAGAAGAAAATGGTCAGCATGAAGTTTGCGTCCATTCCAGCTAGAATAGGAGACCATAATGGTTGAAACTCCCTGAGAAATGCAGTCTAAGTAAGGTGCCATGTGAATTTGCTCCAAGTCTTCATAAGGTATTATAGTATTTCCCTCGTTCACACCTTTATGAGTACCTCCATCTCCAACAAAATGCTTGGCACAAGCAACAACATTGTTCCTGTAAAATAACTTTAACATAAGATGCATGATCAATAATTAGGAAAACTTTTTCAAAATAATTACAAGTTTAAGCCATGAGCAGAAAGAAGTAATGGGAAAATATACAAATCAGAAAATAGGTAACAAAATATCAATAGCATAAATAAATACAACAAATAGGTAACAAAATAGGAAATAAATTTTTGCAACTAAATAAAAGGGAACAAAATCTTTTCCTAAAATGCGAATTATGGAAAATGATATAAAAAGACAACAAATAGGAAGAACATAGAACAAAATGCTGTAGCCATCCTCGCGTCAAGTGTCAATATAATAGTTATTGGAACAGAAATAGCTAGTTTTCAAAACTCTTTTTAACAAAAATATTTTGTTTAAATTTATATATATGGATTTTGCATACTTTCCAGCTACAAAAGGGTATCCATGTTTATGTCCTTCTGGAGGCTGGCCTTGCAAACCTGATACAATGGAAGTCATCTTTCTAACTATTTCAGTATCCTCACTATAACACTCATAGCATCTTCCCCACCTAGGATCTTTTAAGACCTGCATATTTAACCAAGTAAAATGTCATTCCTTTATTGTTTAGATACCGAGTCTTAAATGGGAAAAATGAAACGAAAAATATGCCAAATATGGATATATTTTGATCATTCTTTGCGTTTTAACTCTTATTAGAAACTGATTTTAAGATAAATAGGCAGATCTTTTCAGAAAAATATAATAATACCCATCTATTGTTTTTAATGAAAAAAAAAATCTTAAATCTCTGGAACTGGTGCAATCTTTGAAAATTGATTGAAAAGTACCAGATTCTTGGGAAGTGGTGTCATTGTCATGCTACCTACCAGACAAGGATATACGAAGTTTATAATGGAGTCACTAATGAACATCAAAGACTGATAAATAGTGAATGCACCCGGGGAAAAACTTCATGCAAAATTTTCAAAATTGAAAAAACTTGCAGAAAATGGAGATCCAAGTCATTTTACTTTGCAAAAGCGGCAGGATCTATGTAGTTGTCTGGCGTAACCCATCTAGGCATACAAGGACTATAGTTGATTGCAATTCCTTACCGCTACACATGGAGCAAAACTATAGTGAATTCCACTTGCTTTAACTTCAAGTGCCGTAGCAGCTCCAATTCTTCGAACTAAATCACTGTCCCTATAAGCATTCCAACAGTGAAATTTAAGATTGATTTCAATGGCAAAAAGAGACACATAAACTCAAATGCCAATGTAATTCAGCACGTCCAGCAAACCATTGTAGCACCATTTCTCATGAAGTTAGCATCTTTGTATTTTATCTCTTTCAGTACCAGAGAATCATCCCAGTAGTGTAATAATATTACACTCTGCTAATTTAGTTTAAAAACATATGAAAAAGTGAGTACTAACCTAGTAGCTCCAAGACCAACATTGTGAGGAAATATAGTAGCACCATAGACGCTGTTATTACCATGAACTGCATCAATCCCATAGAGAAGTGGTATCCCCAGTCGAGACTGTAGAGCCAGTTTTTGAAAGCCATCCACCATATCAGCCCAATCAGACGACTGTGCATTTTCAAACGGTGAGCTACCTCCAGAACTCAGTATGCTCCCTATAATGTGCACATATACTACGTAATCAACTGCCAAAGAAGGGTCCAATCCAAGAACAATACAAGCACATTCAAGGGATATCGATAGAGCACTTGGTCTAAAGGAGAGAAGGGGATTTCAGCCCCCTCGTTTTCCCTCTCATCTAAGTTGTTCAACCAAACACACTGCAAAGTTCCCATTTTTTTAGGCACACTCTCAATTGGGGCCTCTCAAATTGATTTGAAATTCCAGCAAATTCAAAGTTGAACAAAATGTAAATCAAATATAGAGAAGTCAAAGTTCCCATTTTCAAGAGGCACACTCAATTGGGGTCCCACCAATTCATTTCAAGAGGCATACAAAATGGGAGCATAAATACCACAAATTGTTACATGGTTTGGGATCACCAGCTAACCATGGCACAAACAAATATGAAAAATTATTACATGGTCAGTGTCTACTTGACATAATGAGATTTTAAATTTACAGAAAAAGTTATTAAGATTCAATTATATGTTATCTAAAGATTCCATAAGACTCTGGTCTTGAACTATATAATCATTTCACAAATACAAGCATAATGAAGTTCCCATTTCCAAGACACTCTCAATTTGGGTTCCCTCAAATTCTTTTCAAACTCCAACAGTTCAAAGTAGCACAAAAACACACCAGCATCAAATTTCCCATTTTTAAGAGAAACTCTCAAATGGAGTCCCTCAAATTCAACCCAACACCAACAAGGTCAACCCTTCAGAAAATACCACATGGAAGAGGCACATCAGAAGAGGTAGGTTAAAGGGTACCAATGGAAAGATCCCGAATGGCATAATCGTTTGCAACAGTGCGCTCAATTTGGGTCATCTGACCAATCTTCTCCCTCAGAGTCATGCGGGAAAGAAGATCCTTCACACGAACTTCAATGGGCACGTTGGGATTCTTGTACACGCAAGCCATGGTTTGCTGCTGTGTGGACGTTTCTGTTGACAACAAGCCAAAGATGAACACAACACAACAACACAACAAACACAACTCAGTTTGTGTCCTCCGAAACAACAGACTTAAGTTCTTCCTCTAAATGTTACTTCACATTCCATTTCTCCTCGGTTTTAGAGAAAATATCATGTTTTGTACTGAGCTGACTAGATGGTCATTTCTTTTCTTTTCTTTTTTATTTTTCATTTTCATTCTTATAAAAATTATAGTTTTATTTACATTTAATTTACTTTTTAAATTTAAATATCTTTTTAAATTAGATAAATAAAAAGTAATTTATAAAATAAATAAAACTATCAATAATAAAATTATAAAAATTATTTTTATTTGTTTTTATAATTATAATTTTATTATTTTTTATTATTAAAAAATAACACATCTTATTTTACCTTAAAATAAAAAGGTTTAATGTCTCGTTAAGTTACTATTTTTGTCCAGAATCTTAGATAGGTCCCCTTCTTGTTCTTGTTTGACGTGTCAATTGGGTCCTTATTTTTTTAAAAATTGACTAACAATGTAGTTTTAATTTACGTGACGTTAAAAATGTGTGTGAATTGTATTTTTTTAATTTTTGAATTAAAAATGAAGTATACAGAGTGGAAATATAATTTAAATAAGGACAAAGTTGGGAAATCAAATTAAATTAAATGCTGAAAGCCCTGTTCTCCTCTGCAATTACGAAAACGAAATCAAATTGGGGGAAGTTGAGTTTTAGGGCTCTTGGATATATATACTTAAGGTGGAGGAATCTCAACTTTAATGTCGTTATCACCCCTTTACCTTGAACATAAATGGTATAATGTTTGGTACTTTAAGATTGAATATGGTGGAGAAGTAAAAGCTAATTAAAAGTTGTTTCCATAAATAAACTCTGAAGGGTGAAAATGATCAGAAATTGATTTATAAGTAATTTTCTGGAATTTGTGATTAATTGGTGGAAAAGACAGATGATTTGAACAGAAAGACGATGAAGCATTGACATAGGAAGTAAAAGAAAAAGAAGTAACCTGTACAGAAAGGAACTTGTTGAGCAAGAAAGTGAGAGAAAGAATGGAATTAGAAAAAAAAAACTAAGTTATTTAAATCGTTACTTTACAATAACTTCCAAACCACTGTGACTCACCTATCTACACTAAAGTCTGCAACCTGACTTGGTAAAGCAAGTGCAACAGTTAAAAGTTTGATTGCAATGGCTGCCCAAGACGCGAAAAAAAAAACAAAAAAAAACAAACCTAAATACAAAAGCACGGAAAGCCTAATTCAATATTCAATAGAGAAAATGGTGGTAACTGATTAATTTGTTCATGACTCAAAAAGGGAAGAGGAAGAAGGTGAAGATAGATCCGTTGGGAGGGTGTTGTGTAATAAGAAGAAGAAGCGAGATGAGGAAATGTCGATGGAGAAGTTGCCCCTTTCTTTGCAACAACGATTTTGTTTTCTTCCACGAACTCTAAAACTCACTTTCCCTTATTTCGATTTCGAAAAAGAAAGGGGCTGCTACACTTATTTTAATTTCTTTTGCACACTTTGACCTTGTTTAAATTTTATTTCCCCTTTGTGTACTCCATTTTTTAATTCAAAAATGAAAAAAATACACTTCACACACCTTTTAAATGCCACGTAAATTAAAACTACACTATGATCAGATCATGCCACGTAACGCCTCCTTAACCGTGTTTGATCAATTTGGAGGCAGACTTTTATTTGATTCAATTTTACAAAAATAAGGACCCAATTGAGAAGTCGAATAAGAAGAGATCTATTTGAGATTCTGGACGAAAATAGGGATCTAACGAGACATTAAACCAACTAAAATTAATAATCGTCATTAAAATATAATGTTACTGTTTTTACAAAAGTTAAATATATTTTTAATTTATGGGTTAAATATGTTTTTCGTCCCTTAAGTATCACACGATTTTGGGTTTAGTCCCTACTCGAAACTTTGATGGTCTTTAGTCCTCATAGTTTTAAAATTCTTACTATTAGTCCTTAAAATTGGACGGCGTTAACTTTTAGTAGATGTGACAAACGGCGAGGCCACGTCTTATGCAAGCTTGCCTCTTCACTCTTTGCCACGTTGCTTTTCTTTTTATCTGGCCAATAAGAATCTGACACGTGTCAGTCCCCTTCCACCCCAAATTAGGGTTTGCCAGATTGGGGAAACTTGCCCCTGCACCTCCGCCACAATTTTGCTCTTCTATCTTACGCCGTCATGAGCCAAGAATGCGAGAATGGAGTTTATGCTGTGTTTTTGGATTTGTAGGTTTGTTGCAGGTGATGGCGCCTCTGGATGACGGTGATGACGCGAGGGAGGATGTCGCGGCTTGCAAGGATTTTGCGCATTGAAGGTGGCGTTGATGGAGGATGGCGTCGCTGCAAGGGAGCTTGCGGGATGAGGCGCGATGGCGGAGAGGCTTAGGCGATTTTGGGTTCGTCGCAGCACTCGCGATTTGGGATTTCGCTTGGCCGTGGTTCTCAATTGGTCGAAGCGAACTCGGTGTGCGTCTTCCGACGCGGTGCGATTTGCGATTGGAGTTGCTCGTGTTTTCTGGTTTTGTTTGAGTTTTGTCTGAGTTTTAGGTGATTCTGGGAATGCCATGCATGCTCGCGTTTTCTGGAATGCCATGGAGCAAGTGTTGACGACGGTAGAACAGTGGACGTTGGCGGTCGTCTGCTTCGTCAAAATGGGGATGATAACCCCTGCTTTTGGTCGCGCTGAATCAGAGGAAGGGGAGACCAGTCCTCACGACTCTGACCGATTGTCGAGGACGGCGTCGGCGGTGACCATCCTGGTTTGTGGCTCGTGGAGGCTGGGCTCTCTCAGGCGGCGATTGGCGAAGGAACGAGAGAGCTTCTCTCTCACGTGCGGAGAAAAGGCAAGGAGGGAGAAATCGACGCCGCAGCCGGCAATGGCCCTGGTGGCGATTGGTGTCGCCGACGACGCCTTGGACTGAGTGGAAGGTCCGGCACGGCGGCTGGTCCGATGGAGGCTAGGCTTTGCCGGAGAAGATGAACGAAGTTCTCAAGCACAAGCAACGTGGCAGAGAGTGAAGAGGCAAGCTGGCATAAGACGTGGCCTCGCCGTTTGCCACATCTACTAAAAGTTAACGACGTCCAATTTTAAGAACTAATAGTAAGAGTTTTAAAACTATGAGGACTAAAAACCATCAAAGTTTCGAGTAGGGACTAAACCCAAAATCGTGTAATACTTAAGGGACGAAAAACATATTTAACCCTTAATTTATTAATTTTTAGTAAATTAAAATTAGTTTTTTTTTAAAATTAGATTTGATTTAGTTTTTAATTTTAGAAATATGTGAATTAATTATTTTAGCCAAAAAAAATTTAAATTTATTTGATGTTTTAAATGTATTTTATAATAATATTTAATTTTTAACTTATTCACATGAGATATATTTTCGTTTCAACACAAGATATATTCTTGCTTTAATGTTAACTACGTATTTTAAAAGTAAAATAACTAAATTATTACATTTCTAATGTTAAAAAATTAAATTAAATTTAAAAAAATATTAATTCTAATTTTTATTAAAAAGTTATGAAATAAAAGCATATTTAAATATAATAATAACTTTTTATTAAATTTGTATCTTTGATTTAGAAGTTCTTAATTTGATGTTCTTTTCATTTGAGTGAAATTTATGACGTTAATGACATGACATTTTAGTGATACTAATCATGCTATTGAACTTATTTTAAGGTAAAATGACCATTTAATCATGGCATTAATATTTTTAAATAACAACACTCATTCTTTTATAATGTGAATTTGTTGGATATTTTATTTTAAATGAACACATTTATTATTCTGATTTTAAAAATTTTAATCTATTAAAATGTGGTTCGTTAAAATTATTATGATTGACTTATAAGTGATACAATATCCTTTGTACGTCACGTGAATAAAATAAAATAACGTAATTATGTTGAGATCATTTTAATAATCTTAAAATAAAAAAATAACATAAATATGATCTTCCTTAGAAAATGTTATCGAAAAGTTACTGTTAATATAATGTGAGACTAAATTCACAAATTTAAAAGACTAATGTTTTATTCACATATGAGGATATGATTTGGAGGAGAGTGATTCAATGGATTTGAGGGAATTTGAGAGTAATTTTTTTGTTGTTTGTTGTTTGTTTCAGTGGATGTGAAGGTAATTGAGGGTGGATTTGAAAGTTAGTGTAGGATTTGATTGATGTGACACATTTAAAAAAATTATTTAATTAATAAAAATTAAAGATTACCAAAATACCTGAGATTATTAAAGTAGTATAAAATGATAATTGTTAATGTTATATTTAATGGTAGAAATGTTTATAAAGAGTAAAAAATTAAAATTAATTTTAAAAATGTAAAAAAATTATAATTTAGTAAAATAAAATAATGTTTTTTAAATATAATATTTTTTTAATATAACTTAATACCAAGTTGTATAATTTTATTTTATTAAAATGAAATTTAATATTTATAAAAAATAAATAATTAACCAAAATTCAACTAACAATATTAACAAATAAAAAAAAAAGAAAGAAAGAAGGAAAGAAGTTTACGATATTAAAATTGTTTATAAAAAATCAATTATAGATTTGTTTATAAGAAAATAAACTCCGAACGTTCTTTAGTATATAAACTAAATTGTTTTAATATTGTTATAGACAGATTTTAACATATTATAATTTTCTTCATATAATAAGCCAAAGTAACAGTCAGGACTACTGCATGTAAACGTTCAGGGATAAATCAAAAGTAGTAGCACTGACTTTGTACTACACACAAGCTAGCTGCAAGTCCACCGGAAGACCACCGGAAGGAAGCATGGCTGCAAGTCCATTCCAAAGTGGAGGCTAACCAAAAAGACGCAAATTGATGATATGAAGAGGGGAATTATGATCCTGCAGCACCTCTCGGATCAACCCAACATCATTGAGTTCAAGGGTGCTTACGGAGGATTGGCAGAATGTGCATTTGGTGATGGAGTGGTGTTTAGGTGGCGAGCTTTTCGGTCGCTGCAAAGGGTAGTTACTCACTAAGCTTGCAAACG